TGTGTTATTAGGAAATAGGCGATAGTGGCTACCTAAAAAATATTCTTCTGTGCCATAAAGAGTAATCACAACTTCAAATGTCCATGTCGAAATTGCATCAACCGACAATTAATGCGAACGAGAAGATTTCAGCTTTGACTTGTGTCGGCAACCCCACTTTCATACCTAACATAATATACACAGTTTCGAAATGCCTGAAACAAAAGAACCTACTTAAGTTTGTTTCACGACCGACATGATAAACGTAAGTGTTGAGAGCGTTTCGTAATAAATCAATAGCTTTTGTCCAGATTAACAGGCAGTGCAGAGATGTACAATACCAGCCAATTTGTACAATGTACAATTTGAAGCGCAAAGAATATCCTGCATCTAGTTCGCCACTTCAGGGTTCGAGTGGCCTCATGTACTTTTAGGACGACTGAACTTTATAAGTGAAATGCAAGGAATTGATCGTGCATTTGCAACAAACACGTTCGCTTCACAGATGCTCCATGAGACTCCTAACCCTGAACGCCTTTGTTATGCTATGGTAAACAATTCAATATTGGCAATGTAATTGCTAACCAAGTGGTTGTGAGAGCGATTCTTACTAATAATTAGAATATCAGCGTCGATATTTGTATTCCACTGCTGAAGCACCCCAACAAACCGACATATACCATTACATGTATGGCAGCGGCAAGTAACAGCATGTGGCAGGTTATTTGATAGAGTTAATAAGCGCACACAGGAAATCGTATAACAGTGTATTTTCTCGCAAACTAGGCAAAGTACCGTAGCCTAAAGTTTTGCTTAGTTTTGGTAATATTGATCTCGCACTACTAATTAAACGACTGATTTATCACGTGTTAGTTACTTGTCCTTTTTCTGGAGCGTAGTAAAGGGAGTTACACAAAGGTTTTAACAATGATTACCATACCTACGCCTCCAGGTTCATAACGTTGAGGAAACACAAGAAAAGAAATAATAAAGGGAGTTACACAAAGGTTTGAACAATGATTACCATACCTGCGCCTCCAGGTCCATAACGTTGAGGAAACACGAGAAAAGAAATAAACTTCTTTGTATTAGCTTGTCAATCATTGTCATGATTGAAAGTGGCTGAAAAGTTTTATGCTTCAAATCAAGGCCAAAACCTGATGAAGTCGGAACCATCACATGAGGAATTGCAATAGGATTGTGATCCTTTTTGTAATTAAACAATTTTTTCTTGGCAGATTGAGTAACCACGATTGAGGAGGGATCACTTTAATACGTCCCCACCTAACAGTTGCATATGAAGTGTCAATGCTTGATGTCAACTGGCTAAATTGAGATTGTCATTAACACCGAAATAATTATGTTCTTATGAGAGAGCAACTGAGTGACATAAACTAATTACTTGCATAGGTCGCAACTGAAATATACTTGTTTTGTGACGGCGGTGCGCGACAGTTGGTTATTTCTATTCGGAATGAGGTTTCCAGTACACAAAAAATATATTTCTAATGTAGGTGGGCTGAACTAAATGCTCGAAAGACCAAAGAATCAAGGAGCCAATATACATAACATAAACCACTTGCGAAATTCTCTTTTTTGTTAGAGCTTGGTAAGTTTAACTTGGCACACCTACATTAATATGTCTTGCCAAGTAGCACAAGTTGAACGTTTATTATAAACCAGCATACCATGAAATAGAGGCCTGAAAATGCTGGGCGATATTTTTTAAAGTAGAAATTTGGCTGTAAGAGAAGCAGCATGGTTGAGAGGCTTCTTATGCATTACAAAAACCCCGATGACATGGAAACACTAGTAGCACGTACGCACAAGACATAGTTAGGATGAGGTTTATTACGTAGTTCTTAGTGGAATTCGTATGATTGCTACCATGTCGTAAGGAAAAAGAAGCACTTGTGTATTTCGAATAAGTGAATGATACAAAGCACAAGAGAGAGTAGCGAAAACTTTGTGCTCAAATAACAATTTTACTGCGAATGAATAACAGCCACAAAACATGAATTGTTATTTCTCAATTATATTTATTTAAAATTCAGATTCTAATGCTGACTTGGCCACACCCAGATCTTTTTACATAGTTGACGTATTTTTACGGAGACACCGGTCACCATCACCGATGCGTCGTCGAGCAGTTTCTGACGAGAGAGACTGATCGGTGCAGTTCCGCAGGAGAAAAACTGAAACTTCTACGCAATTCTCAGTGCCTTCATTTTGGGCCGCAAGAGATTATTCATGCTGATTTTGAAGGTGCCATCACTCTAGCGCTTTTAGGTACCTGGTTGCTATTTCTTCAATAGACGTTAACTGTCGGAGACTCAAAAAAAGTGACATCTCTCTCTGACATGGTGCACTTCAAAACTTTTCACACCCTTAACAGTGTATTTTTGTCCCATAAGCAACATTCTTTTTGCGTAAGTACTAAAAGCGTTGAGTGTGAGGTAGGTGTGCTTGCGAACACCCCTAAACTATGGGTGTTAGATCAAGCTACAGCCAAGCGAGTGGTTTATAACTAATAAAAATAGCTTTGAAACGATGGCAGTTACATGTATAAGCATACTTGATCAAAAGAAGTGCAATTACGGGACAACAAAAGGAGGGACACGACGAAGGAAATGATTCGTCCTGTCTGCCTCCACTGTTTTATAGAAAAGTTGAAGCTTGGACCAGTTGGTGACGCATATTTGATGGAATTTAATGCCATGGAAGGGAGAACAACAAAGGAAACTCACAGAACAATTTTTCCTGTGTGTCTCTCCTTTTGTTGTCTCGTTAATTGCGCTTCACTTATTCAGGTATGTGTATACTTGTAACTGTCATCGTTTCAAGGATCTTTTATGTGTTACACTCCACTCACATGGTGGTAGCTTGATTTAACACTCATTTTAGGGGTGTTCATAAACACCTATAAAAGTAGGATGTAATGTCTCTTTACACCCTATATTTTATCATGTTTCTAAACACGCTAAAGAGACGTTGCCCGTGGACAAAAATACACTCTTAAGGGTGTAAAAACGTCGCAGTGTGCTTTCTATGGCTAGCGCGCCACGCATTCATCTCTCAGCTTTGTTTATGGCGTGCGTCGTCATCGAAGACATTACGTACATCAATATAATTTTTGTTAGGCCATTTTGTGTTCAACACTCATCCTTGGTTGGAATTTCCTTTCACATTATAAAGCTGCCATCGATGACCTACATGCGGAAGTGTTCCTTGTGCCAACATATGAATTTTCATCAGCTGACCATTCCATTCCCTCCTGAAAACTGATCGTTGATGCCGACACCAACTTGTTGCTAGAAGCTTCAGTCCCTATTACCCTTTTGTGTACTGCTCAACCTGATGCCATGGATTGTTTACGGCATCTCAAGTGAATGCAAGAAAATCGTTCTCCCATTTGCCGTTCTCAAAATAGTATCTGGTTGAACCATAATACTGGTTACAAACCTCTGCAACAACATCTTTGCTTTACTCCGCAGTGAGAATGAAGGGTATACGTGCAACCTGTCACCCACATCAGTGATCTTGATATTCCCAATTGACCCTATATATCACATTGAAGTCATAAGTCTTGCATCTCAACCAGCTCGAATATACAATGCCACCGCGAATAGACGACGCTGCTGATTGTTTACGAGGTACGGAATACATTCCCTCCTCTTGCCTGCCTTCTGGGTGTTGGTAGGTACCAGTGGTTCGGTGTCATCACCTTACAACAGCCTTTGTAACGTTCTATGGCGTACACGAGTTAAGGTCATGCCATTTGGGCTCGGCAACGCGACTGCAATATTACAGCGCATGATCAATACGAAAGCCTTCGAGGTCACAAAGAGAAGACTTGATTGTGTTACTTGGACGATATAGTAGTCTTTCCATCAAATTTACACACACGTTTTAGTGGTCTGCACGACAATCTCACGTGCCTAACTGCTGCAGACCTCCACCTTATTATTAAGAAGTTCTACTTCAGAGCATGGGAGATAACCATCTTGTGACATGCGATCTCAAAAGACAGCATTTTCGTGATTTCGATGTCTTTCAACATGCAGCCTCATTCCGAAAGCCCACATCGATGAAAACCTTCAGAATTTATTGTAGGCCTGTGATCCTATTTTGGTCACTTCATGCGTACCTTCGCATTAATTATTGCACCTTTCATTAGTATGCCTACCACCAGTGAAGGTAGATCTGCAGGGTCACCTCCGTGTGATGACGCATTTTGAAAGTTGCGCCACCTGTTGACCTCGTCATGTGTCCTTCACCACTTCAACACTACTGCTCCCATAAAAATCCACCCGGATGCAAGTGGCATTGATCTTGGTGCAGTTTTGGCACGACACAAATTCAGCCAAGGAGAATACGTTCTCGCTTATGCAAGTCATGCTCTCAAGAAGGCTAAAATACAGTACTCGGGGACAGGGAAGGAGTGCTTGCCGATAATCTGGGCATCGGCGAAGCTTCGCCCGTGACTTTATAGCCTTGCTTTCAACGTGGTTACATACCACGACGCTCTATGTTGGCTTTTCACTTTTAAAGACCCGTCAGGGCACCTGAGCCACTGGACACCTCACTTGCAGGAGTATGATATTGGTATCGTATATCGTTCTGGTTACAAGCATGCGGATGCTGATGACCTATACCCCTTGCCCATAACACCAAATGTGGCTTCTCTGCCCCCTTTAACTATCAGCTTGTCATCCCAGTGTGAATACTCATACCTTGCCAGCAGTATACTCTTCGATGCGAGACAACATTCATGCCACCGTAGCTACATGCAGAGGGTCGGAAGTGGCCCCTAACTGTCTCTAGACATAGGCGCTCTGAGTCTCTGTCATATGCGCGACATTGCATGCCTATTCCAATAGCGCTCATGCCGACGTTCTAGAAAACTTGTGAAAGGCGGCATCAGCGATATTACTGGCGAGGAATGTACCGCCCATGGCCATGGCTTGTCGCCATAGGCCTTCCTGCGTCCCATTCGTTGGTAAAGCAAGGAGGACGGAGGCTTCAGGTCAAAACAAACAATTTATTTAATGAAACACGGCATAGCGCAGGGTTGGCCTTGAGACCCGAGGCACCTACGCAGCGACCATGACGCCGGGTAACAGCAATCGACCAGCGCGGGTGAGAGCATTCGTTTGTCATGGCAGCCAAGACATCTCTTCCTAGGGCATGACGCAGAGTGGCCCAATGAAGAGTGCAGGTTTGCCACACACACCGCTACTGCACAACACGTGACACTCTCTCTGGATGCCCTGTGCACGTGGTTCCCACAAGACGAATGTTGGATCATTCTTCACGACCAAACTCGATGGCATCACTTCCGCCGACATATCCTCCGAGCGCAGATGCTTCATTTGGAGCCATTATTATTACAGCTGCAATAAAGTGAAAGTGCTTGTAATGGCTGCGCGGTCAAGTCGTTTCTTTATTCTGGTAGGGCGAAAAGAGATAACTGTAATTTTTCTGTGTTCTAGTAGGTATCTTAACCCTGTTTTTTGTTATGAAAGATGGTACACTGTTTTAGGTGTTAGAATATTGATACCCATAAAGGCTATCTTGTCGTTATGTAGTGGAATGATTATTGTTATTTAGACAACGTTATCTGACGCTCTATGAACCACAGGAAATTATATTGTTGAAGAAACGTAAGCCGAAAGGCGATAGCTGTATGTGGTCGAGTTATGGTTGATACCAGTATGTGGTCTTTTTACAATTCAGTGCCACCTATCAAACGAAATGCAAAACAAGGTTTTTCCGCCATGTCTAGTTCACCCCCTGTGATGCGCGCTACTGATGTCAGTACGCGATGATCGCTGCGTATGTGAGTTTTGGTTGGCAGTCGGTGGGACGCCTGAGAGGACGCACAGCGGCCACTTCAAGGGGCAGTGCCACTGCGGCCCTTGCGTGACCTCTCCCAGTGGCGGACGGGCTGTTATGACCGGTAGAGCGAGGACATGGCCTCCAAGGGACTCTCATTGGCGTACCGTCCAAACGTACCGCAGGAACGCAAGTGCTCTCCGTGTGCGCAGCAGGGAACGCTAATTGCCATCGTTGGGACACACAGGCCGCCAGCTCGCATGAGTGAACGAACTATCTCGAAGGGCCACGTTGCCGGACTGGATTTTCTAAAGGGTCCATTGCAAAATGGTAACATATCTATGTATATGAACACAATGCGTTAGCTGTGCTGTGAATTTAGCGTTTAGCAGAAGATTTTTCAAAAGTTCCTTAACCGAAAAATTGTATGCCCGACATGATTCCCAAGGTTCAGCATTCCGCTGAGTTTGTTAGCTTGGTGAAGGGGGTTATGTCGTTTCCACTAAAATACAACACTTGAATCAGCACGCTAAGTCAAGTCACGCAACAGCTGCACAACACAGTCGAAAATGTTCGCTGCTGCAATTTTGTGCAGTAACTTTAAATGTCGAGGAAACCACAGTAGGCTCAGAAATGCCTCGAGACACGTTCATGCAGGTAGTGGTCCATACATTAATTTTGCATTCGCAAACAGTTTTCAATTAATACGTCTGCTTTGGCAGTTAAGCAGATGTTCGAGTCTATCAATGAATTGTTGAATTAATGCAGCCCTTCTTAGTTCCAAAAGAGTTCAAGCAGATTACCTATTGCTGTAGCAACCATCACCAGTAGATTCATTCCAAGTGGTTGCCTCATGTTGTCTTCAGCTGTGGGGGGACAGAAACGGCAAGCGAAGGAGTTGCGTTGAAAGTGCCGCCAAGTATATATGCGAAGGAATTTCTATAATAAAAGTGTGCTCAAGATCACAAAAAGAAAAAAAATTAACCAGAGGGCGTTTCTAAGGAAGAACACATCGCATACGCAGCGCTATTATTAAAGATAGTCTTGCGTGACACGTAGCCTGTGGTTTGCCCATAATATCGTACGATTGAAGTAGAGTATACACGACAATACAACGAACTGGATACTTATGTTTTGATTTTTTTAGGTACTACTTCATGAGTGCAAAAAGAATATTTTATGAATATATTCTCTTCAAGCACTTAATTCTATAAAGAAATGTAACTTAGAAGTGTGGCAGCTTGGCCTAGTCGGTATGACATGACGATAGTTATAGCGCGAGAACAGAACGACGACACAGAGACAAGAAGCTTTCTTTGAAACTGAGACAAGCACATCATTATTGTTCACGAGTTTTATCTAAAGTGAGAATATGCGGGCTATATCTACAGCAAGCAGTGCCAACTCACCTGTAGAAAGATGCGTCACTGTAGAGCGCAAGTTAGTGCAGATACACGTATTCATTCATTCCAGTGTGGGATTATATACAAAAAATGAGGGCTACAATACGTAATTGAGTTCGTTATAAAATTTTAAGCATTAGATCAATCAGAGAGCATCGTTAGACAGCCACATCCTGTACGCAAAATAGCAGTAGGTTCAATTTCGAAACATCACAGCGAATTCAGTATCAAATAAAAAATAGCCTCATTACATTTTTCTAATTAATCGTGGAATGAATCGTGGAAGAAGGCAGCTTCTTGGCAGGTGCTTATAAACCACAGTCTGCCGGAGCGTACGCTGTTCGAGAACGTTGGATTAAAATAGAGATCGCACAACTTGTGGAAATTGAAGAAGTATTCATCAATGCAAATAATATTATAGTAGAGAAACATGACTGAAACAGGGTCTTTGCTCGTGGTTTAAATTCTATGTCTGTACATTAAACATAGAATATTCTACGTATTCAAATATGCAGTCAACGGAACTCAAGCAAGCAAGACATCAGAGCTTAGTTCACAGATTTAAAAACAAGATATGAAACACTATTTTCTTGGTCTCACGTCTGCCTGGCGTACAGTTTTAACACGTAACATACACACGTGGTCCCTGGCAACGACAGCCGCTGAGGACCGTGATGGAAATATATTTGGCTCTAGGCATCGAGTACTTAGTTTTCCCAAACACTCCTTATGTACTTTGGCAAGATCTATTATGAATATAAATTGTACTTACGGGCCAAATATAAAAAAATGTGCCTGTAGAGTTAGTAGGTAAGGTCTGTACACGAATGAAGGGCCTCTCACATCGACAAAACATTGAGGAAGTCAACCGCATCTCAGACGGGAGATCAGCGACTAACGACCTTTTCACCTATAACACTGCAACAGTGGTTTAGATGAAATATGATTCCGCTGAAGGACCCTTTAGATGATTGCCCTCCCAAATACAGGAACATTTTATTTGCAGAAACATGTTAAAGGCCCTTGTCCTGCAGTTCGCGTTGATAGGGAAATGGCGGCCATGCCTATTGACAACCAATGTTTCTCTACTGGTTGAGAAATATAGCGACGTCAATTGCTGTGAAAATTAGTCTCGATGTTGCACTGCAACCCGCACGTTTTTAGAAGCACAATTAGATCAACCTTACGGCTTACTAGCTTGTTACAACTAAGACGTCGAAGAGCAAGAAATCGCCATTATTGACCTTACATAAAAAATGTTTTATTAATTTCGTTGGATATTCAAGGTGGCATCTTTGCTGTATTTAAAAAATATTGATTCAAGGAGTTAATATTGTTTACGGAAAAAAATGGGCTGAAGAAATGCATTTTTGATCGCATCGCGAATATATAGGCATTCTTTCTGTATATAATTTCCAGTAGAACTCTCAACATCAAAACTCTTCAACCAGAAATGGGGCTCAGCAGGTGCTCATAAAAAAACGTGGCCAAACGATGGAATTTTCAAGCAAGCGCCTTGTATAGCTTATGAGGAGAAAAAGAGGTAAAGAGAAAGAGGGAAGTAAGTGTAAAATATGTATAAAAGAAATCAAAATTTTCAGGAGAGGCGGCATTCCAGCCCGCGTGCTTACGGTTACGAAGATGAGCGTCAAGGCTTTTTGTTCATCCGGGCTTTTCAATAACTCGTTATTAACGTGGTGTATACGTCAGTGATACTGACTGATACACTACTGTCAACACCATACCACTTAAACTAACGTCGATTACAGAAAATACTTAGTTGCAAAAAATTTTTCTTAAGTCCCCACTGAAGCTTCATTGGACTCAATGCTAATGCGTTTAAATTTAACAACATTAGTGCACAGTGAATTTCAATTGTTCGAAGACATTTTGTTACACTATCTACAGCTTCTACTGTTATATGTATAGTAAAGGTTTGAAAAATAGGCATAATAATGCCGGAGGAGTACCGCTGATTACTTAGCTGGTAATTTAAAGCATGCACTCTCGGCTACAGCACGTAGGACTCATTCACCGTCAAACAGCCTCAAACACTTGCCTCATTTCCCTAGACTTCGTGCTATTTGATGAACATTTTCAATGATGTCAGCGGTATTTTATGCACTTTATTTCAAAATATAACATACCATAACATCAATTGCGCATATCAAAACGGTCACCTCGTCTTCCTGCAGCCACAGTCATTGAATTATTTTACTACGTATCACTGGCGCACATGAAATCGGAATGCATGGTGCGAAATAGGTCAAGCTGGACAGCAGAGAGACGACGTCTCTAGCATTTTCGATCACGCATAAAAACAAGCTTTCATGTAAACCATATTACTGAATTCCTACGAGCGAAAGTAGAAGAAAAGCTTGATTGAAAGGAAAGGAAGCGGTACAGAAAGCTTTTTAATTTAAATAGTTCACTAACGCTACATGTGTTGTGCACACTGTGACGCTATAGGATGCATATTGTTATAACTGAAAGAACGTTCTTATGGCTGAAAGGATGCACATTGTTATGGCTTAAATGATGGTACATCAGACCATGAAATTTCCCTTTAGTTGGATGCGCGTCATGGGATTTCGGCGGGCGTTATCTACTTAAAAACTCCGATCCAGTTCGCAACACTAGGCACGTAACAAAATTGCAGCATAGCCTGCCATTCGCCTAAGATCTCGCATGGAATGAATTCCACAATTGCATGATATCGGCCAGAACTTTTGTACGCTAACCCCAGCCAGGAAGTCTTGTGCGCCAATAAAACTTCAGGTAATGTGTTAAACTCAACCAATTCACCTTAATTTACTCTTTACAATCACCCCAGTCACCCCCTCAAAAGCAGGATATGCGTGATATTAACCTGTTCAGGAAAGACTCAGTAATCCGACTTCTGTCTCCTCAAAACAAAGAACAATTCATATACCGAATGTATTGGCATATTTCAAAAATGTGTTTTCAGTCCGGCTTACGAACACAGGATCAATGCAGGGGTGGGCTGCTTGCTCTGTATATTAAGTTACTCAGAATGGTAGTAAATGGCAATACCTGGAAGACAAAGCAACCAGTTCTCAATCGGAAGTTTCTGGCCAAGTCTAATGTACGCGCTAGAACGCACCGCATGCGGCATTCTTCTTTAACGGCCACAGGCTTTTTTCACATAAAACTTTATTTTCAAAATGATGTGATTCACATCTTCAAGGTGACAGCTTAGAGAGAGAGAGAAAACATTTATTGAAAGAAGCTTGTGAGTGAAGGTGGGAGGGTCCCTTATTCCAGGAACCCTCTGGCTTGGACAGCCCGCCGAGCTCGAGCGACGAGTTGACGCTGCTCGACCAGGTCCGGCTGGGAGATCGCAGCCTCCCACGCTTCACTGAGGAGGTCTTGGTCCGCATCTGGTGCTGCTGCTCGTAGTCTTGGGACGCTTACTTTGCACTGCAGTAGGAGGTGTCTGCCACACCTCCAGAGTGTCAGAGTGTCTGCCACATTGCAGTGAGGGCAGATGTAGCTGTGCACCGTTGGCCTCATATGGTGCAATAGTACGCCGTGTGTGAACGTGTTGCTTTGAAGACGCCTATAGTCAGTCCCTTCGTCTCTTGCGAGTTTTGGATGTGGCGGGGGGTATAACCTGCGTTCGAGCCGATAATGTTGCAGTAATGCATGGTACGTTAGTGGTATGGTTTCTCTTGCCTCTGATTCTGTTTTTGAGTGGGAGGTGCCTCGGATCTCGTATGGGAATGCCCGGTTGATGCATTCGCGGCTGCGGTGTGTGCCGCTTCATTTCCCTCGAGACCTTCATGACCCGGAATCCACACGATGCATGTGTAGGGAGGAGGATTGTCCATGCGCTTTAGTAGTCTAATCGCCACCGTGGCGACCCTGCCTTTCAGGTAGTTCCGTGCCGCTGTTTGTGAATCGGTAAAGACCACGATGGGATCCTCACTCGTCTGGGTGTCGAGTGCTATAGCAGCCTGTTCAGCTGTTTCTGCACGTTTGGCGAGGATAGTCGCCGATGGCAGTAGTGCGCCCTTGTAATGTGCGACGGTAATCGCGAAGGCATCACGTCCCGGATATTTGGCTGCGTCCACGTATCGCGCCTGTGGGTCATTGCCATGCTTTTTCCGGATTGTGTTAACCCAGGCAAGTCGCCTTTCTCGGGGATGTTGAGGATGTACTTTCTGAGGGATCTGCTGAATTTCAAGGCTTTCTCTCAGCTGTGACGGTATTTTGCCTTTGCGTTCTTCGTTGGGTTCTAGGGTGGTCTGGTATCCTGTGCGTCGAAGAACGGCTTGCCTTGTGCGTGACAGCTTGAGTCTCTAGACCTGGTTGATGAGGTGTGCTTCAGTGAGTTCTTACCACGTATTATGAACTCCCATGCGAAGCAGTCGGTCAGTGGATGCGGCTGGCGGCAGTCCTAGGGCAAGATTTGTAGCCTTTCGTATCAGCAGATCAAGTTTTTGTTTCTCCGCTGTCTTCAGGCTGAGGTAGGGAGTTCCGCACGTTATGCGGCTGTAAAGGAGAGCTTGTACCATTTTTAGGGTGTTGTGCTCTTTGAAGCCACTGCGGCGATTAGCCACCTTTCGGATTAGGTGGGTTAGCTGTGTCACAGTGTTCTGCAGGCGGGGTAGGGCAGCGGAGCCAGACCCATCTTTATGTATGTGTAGTCCAAGGACTCGAAGCGTGTCAACTTGTGGTATTCGGACTCCCTGTAGAAAGACTTGTGGGTCAGGGGTGTCGTAGCTTGGTGGTCTACCCCGGGTGCGTGCCGCAAGCACTAACAGCAACGACTTTTCCGGAGCACATTGGAGGCCGCAGGTCTTGAGATATCCTTCAGTGATGTTAACCGCCTCTTGAAGTCGGTCCCCCTGTTCAACCGTGCTTGAACCTCTTGTCAACATATTGATATTATCGGCGTATAGCACGTGATGTATCCCATGGACAGCGTCCAAGAGACGTGGGAGCTTAAGGAGGGCCAAGTTGAAAAGCACTGGTGATATCACTGAGCCCTGCGGCGTGCCATTGTTAGGGAGTTGAAAAAGCTGGCTCCTGATATCGGCAATCCCTACAGTGGCAGTGCGGTTGGTGAGGAAAGCCAGCATATAGG